ATACACACCCTTCAGCCAAAAAAGAGTTTGTTTTTTTCCCCCCTTGAAGACTTCTTACTTGAAATGTAAACCACCGTCTCTTATCTTTTATGTATATTTATTACAACAGTATTTTTTAAAGATAAAATAAAGAAATTTGCCATAAATACTACCAAAAAATATAAAAAGAATAATCATTCACAGGAGAACTTTAGCAAGTAGAAATTTTGTCAGAAGGGATTAAGTTTTAAATATCCAATTGTAGACTGAAAACAAGGGTACTGATTTTTTTTTTTTTAGGATGCCTGAACATATAAAGAAACAGAACAGTTTGCTTTGATTTTTCTAAACTGCAGTTTGTATTTAAAAGATATATACTTTTCCATTGTTGATTTCCCTTGACAAACTGAGTTCATACCAATTTTTCTTAACTCACTGTATATTCCTTCAAAGTCTGCCATCCAATCTTATATATTTACATTAATGCCTTTCTGCAGTACTCTATATGCATCAAAATCTGATAATATAATATTCACTAGATCCTAGAGTCTCTGCCACTTCAACCTTACTTATTTTTCCTGGCTTATTTCTAGTATCTAAACTATATGCCTTCTCAATAAAATTTTTTTGACAGGATAATAGTGCACACAATATTTGCCCTGACTCCAGATAGGATTTCACATGAAATATGGAAAGGAAAATACTGATAATCATTGCTAATATACTTTGAAGACATTTTAATATTGACTTGGCACTGTTAGTCCATTGCTATAGAAATGGTCTAGTTGGATCTGTTATTGGTTTATAGAAACTTGAATTGTGAATTCATATCTTAACAATTACTAGTCAGGAGACAGCAGTGAGGATATGAAAAAGTCTTGTTACTTGAGTATAAGGCTCATACAAATCTCTTTCCAAAGGTAAAAATTAAATGATATTAAATATTACTATTAATCATATACCTAATGATTAACCTCAGATATGCAGATGACACCACCCTCACGGCAGAAAGCAAAGAGGACTAAAGACCCTCTTGATGAAAGTGAAAAAGCTGGCGTAAAACTCAACATTCAAAAAACAAAGATCATGGCATCTGGTCCCATCACTTCATGTCAGGGAAACAATGGAAACAGTGACAGATTTTATTTTGGAGGGAGCTNGTATTGTTGTTCTTCAGTCGCTAAGTCATGTCCGACTCTTTGCGACCCCATGAACCGCAGCACGCCAGGCTTCCCTGTCCATCACCAACTCCTGGAGTCCACCCAAACCATGTCCATTGAGTCGGTGGTGCCATCCAACCAGGTAAAAGTCCCCAAAAAGGTGTTTTATATATAGCATTATATGTAAAGCATAGGTAGACAAACTGAGATGGTGTTTCAGAAGAATATCCCCTCAACAATTAAAGAGCTTCCAAACTAACCACAGAGGAAGTATTAGGAAGACCTTCAACATTGATTTTTTTCTTTTAGAATTTATCTGTTTCTAAATTCCACATGTAGACTGCTTTCTGTGATTGCTGTTTTCTGTACTTTACTCATAATTAAAAAAGCTTCTTAGTTTAAGGTATATATCTGAGTTTGGCCTAGAATCTAATCTATATATATATGAATTATTTCATTAATGAAAAATAGCATCAAGTCTTCTACAATGACAGAAAACTATTAGAAAAGTGTAAGGTAGAATTTTTGACCTAATCATACTCAACCCCAATGTAAGATATTACCTTCTGAGCATAATGAATATGCCTTTATATTTTATAAATAAGTTTTCAAGATACATTGTAATGTTTGGATCTTATGTAAATTTAAGATGTCACATGATGTCAGAGTTATTGCTGTAACAGAGAAAATTGGACCAGTGCATCTTCCGAATACTATTACATCATCATTATTAGTGAATAATTCTATTTCTCAACAGCTTCTTTACTCTGATTTTCTTTGTTTATTGTAAGCATATGAAACCATCAAAAGTGTAAAGGTAGAGTCTGTCATAAGATGAGTCATCAGTCTAAGTCCCTATGTATAATCAATACACTGTGGCATATAAAATGTTCTATCTTACTTTCAAATACTGTTTGACTACAGAAATAAATCAAGGAATAACTAAGTAGAGCAAAGAGACCAACTTATCATTGTAGATTATATATGGATGATATATTTCCAAGAGGGACATTAATTCAAGGAGATAGAATTTGAATTTAATAGGGAGGAATACAATGGGGAAGAGTTTGATTAAAAAAATATAAGTTCACTTATGTCTTTCTATAATTATTTTTCCTTTCTTTCCCCATCCACTTTGCTTGTCTTAGCTCCCCTCCCCACTCTTCCTGCCTTCTCTCCTGGGATTTTCTTACTTCACTGAGTGACTATTATTTGAAAAGCACTACAATAACATATGAATATATTTGGTATTCAATTTTCAGCCCATCACTTCCTGGTGTTTTTCCCTATTTGAAACTAAGAATAATAACCCTTTACTACAACTCTTCTAGAAATGAGAAAGGTCATATAAACAATTGACAGCCATTACATAAATACAGATTTCAGACTTGTCTGCTTTCTGGTACTTATGATTCAGTGACTCTTTTATTATTAGTGTAAAAACACTGCAAAAATATTATTCCTTAATAGAATAGTGTGACATGAATGCAAATAACCTATTTTATACAAGGCATAATCATGTATCTCATTTAAATTTGATTAAGGATGTCATTGGGAACTAAATTAGCACCATAATTAGAACAGATTTTGTGATTCTTTGAATGACATAGCAAATATCTATGAGACCCTAAAAGTTCTGCAACATATAACCAATTGGTAGAAAGCAAATGAATTTCTACCCCGTAGCCATCAACCTCTGGCCAGCATTTTAAAAGTACCATGATTCAGGTTAAAGGAAGGAGTGATTTGTGTCCTTAAATGATGTCTTAAACCTGAACAGTCACTCAGCTAGTAGGTAGCAAATAAAGAGTTTAGCTCTTTTTTTTTTTTAACATGAAACAATAAAAACTTCTCATGATCATTGCTTCACCCTGCTTTACACAAAATTATACAGTAAATTCTTGGGAAATAAACTATAGCTGAATGAAAGAGGATAAAGATTACCTTTGAAACCATAGCAGTGATTACTGAAAAATACCAGAGAAACTATACAGGGATCACTTATCAAAGCGATATAAGCCAGAAAAAGTCAGTTCAGTTAATTTCACTTTGAGGGAATAGGAACAGGTTTAGATCTATAATTTTTTTATGAAGCAATTCTGTTATACCTGATTTGTATGTAAGTAATGAAAACTGAACTGAGTTTTCTCTCCCATGAAGGCTGGAGGCGAATTTGGCTGAAAGCTTAGATGAACAGAGTGCTAGCGTTCTTTTAGATTTCTCTCTGGAAAGTTGTTTTTGTGTATGTGTTATAGAAACACTATCTTGCTTCTATCATTCTCAGTGGCTAAATGACAGGGGTTATCACTTTTACCAGTAATGGTGAATAATTCAAGTCACTACTGAAGTTCATATTGTCATTTCTGCCAAACATACCTAAATCCACCAAGACTTGTCATTAAGAGTTAAAGATTAAACTATCAAACTACAAATCATCCGTTCATCTCTCCAATTCCAATCAGTGAAATATTAATAATATATATGAAAGCTACATTTTTTATATTTGCTGTTAACTCTGCGAGCTCAGTTTATATAGACTTCTATTTGTAATTTTTTACAACACTACCATCACCGCCACCACCAACAACAATAAAATTTCTATGCAACTGATACCACTTTGTTCTAGAGAGAAAAAAAGGGTGGCATCACACTCACGAGAATAAAAATTGCTAATTTTTATTTCATATAATTTTGGTCCCTACTCTATCCATGGCATTGTTGGCCACTTCAGTTATTATCCAAGGATAAAATCAAATGACATGGAAGCATAAGTATATGGTTTGTTACTTTTTGCAGGCAAGAGTAATTCAAGGTAGGCAAAGGTAATTGAAAAGCAAATGAAAAACATCAGTGTAATAATTTAAGGGTTTGATGGCATAATTTTGCTAAGAAAAGTAAGAAATTTGCATGATGAGATTTTGTTTCCATTTTATTCCCTAATTTTTCAAATGCTCCCATTATTTGGCTGGCTGGGTCACCCTCGTGAAAATGTAGGATCATTACCATAATTTGTAGCATAGTATTATCTATGATACAAAAACCACAAGAATTATGATAAAAATTCAAGGATCAATATCCTAATTCCATTTTTCTAAACACATATAAAATGGATTTGCATGCTTCATGTAAAAGGGAGGAAGAAAGCTAGATAGTTTACAAAATAACAATAATAAGATAATTAATGATTATCATAATACCAAGGATAATATAAAAAGTGACTTACTAAATTTTGAAATTATATTTTAAAAGGTTCAGTATCCTATATTTTGTTGTTCTTCATTGATAAAATATGGTTTTGGTCAGATTGATATTTCTAGGGAAAGCATGCATTAATTTTCTTCCTCAGAATTGTCTTTTCATTAATGTTAAATGTCAAATTTGCTACTTTCTCACTTTTTTGTCAAATCATTTTTCTTTAGTGAAATGGAACTTTATTTAAATCTCTGTAAACCACAAATACAGAATAATTTTTCAGTTAGTAAAACTCAGTTTTAAATTCTCTTTTCTAGCCAATTCCAAGTGGTAAAGTGGCTTAAATCCGACCTTCTTTTATTCTTGAATTACAAATTTGGGACCTGAATCTCTAGTTTTTATTTGTGAAAAATCTACCCTAGGAGAAAGAGGCAGCACTATACTGATCAGATGCTCAGTTTACAGATCCTTCTTCCACTTCCTTTACATTATTCTTGGAGCATTATGTATCACAAATGTGGTTTCTGTATCTATTAATCAAAAAGCCACTCGCATTTCTGTTCAACAATATATTTTAGAAATACTTATTTCTGTGTTGTGGGTCTGTCAGTTGTAAGCACAGTTTTACTGCTGTGTCTGGTGGCAGAAAACTTCACCTGAAATACCTACCAGCAGGAATCCTGGGGGGCAAAGATCCTCCCCCTGGCGCTGGATGCGGGGCCTGGAGGCTATTTAAAAACCCTGCCCTCAGGAAGCTGGGGCAGAACGTTTCCACCCCAATGGCCGGGAAGGATCCTTTTAAGAGATAAAAATGGACATTAATCAAAAAATCTTCTTTGTGGAAAAGTTGTTGATCATTTAACTGGAACAAAACCGACAATCAACAAAGACATAAACCTTACAAGGAAGTTACGTAATTACAAGGAATGGAATGCATTTTTATTCATAAATTTATGAAATAAGCCTAGTTTTTGAAAAGAAAGTTACTCTTATCCAGTTACAATTAAAGAGGGTTAGAAGCACCAGAATACTAAGATAAATTTCTAAAACTACATTTGACAAAAGGGATACAAATGTTATTGATGTTGCCTGTTTGCAGAATTCACCTCCACATGCGATACTGCTAAGTCACTTCAGTCGTGTCTGATCTGTGCGACCCTGTAGATGGCAGCCCATCAGGCTCCCCTGTCCCTGGGATTCTCCAGACAAGAACACTGGAGTGGGTTGCCATTTCCTTCTCCAAAGCATGAAAGTGAAAAATGAAAGGGAAGTCGCTCAGTCATGTCTGACTCTTAGCGACCCCACGGACTGCAGCCTACCAGGCTCCTCCATCCATGGGACTTTCCAGGCAAGAGTACTGGAGTGGGGTGCCATTGCCTTTTCCATCATGTGAGCTAGAGATATGCAGAAAATAGCCACAATAGGATCTGAGATGTGTGCTCCACTATGAGGAGCGGTGCTCACTTCTGGTGTACCAGTATGAGAGCCTAAAATGAAGAAGACTTCTATACCATACAGTAACTACATACATCTTTGAAATAGTGGTAAGAAAAACAACATACACATTTCTTAATTTGCTTCATTCTTAATTTGCTTAATTAGGGACCAGACATAAGAGTTTGCAAAGGTAGAACCACACGCTTTTTCATGTTTAAGAATGCTATTGAGAAAGAAACAAGAAAAAATAAACTACTTAGAAGTTTATTCATAAAATAGTATAATGAATCACAGACAAAAAGAATGTCAGAGGTATAAAGGACTTCAGAGATCATCCAGTCAAAAACTCCATGTTTTACAGACCAAGAACTGAGGACTGGAGTAGAAAAGTGATATCACACAGCTGGTGGATTCCCAGGACAAAGTCTTTACACTACAAGATTAAAAATAAATAATGAGCCACTTGCTATTTGGAAGATCATGATCTCCTGATTGTGAATTAGAAACCTAGCACTTTGGAATAGTGGCATTACAATGTGGTGTCTCAAGGACCTAAAGGACACTAAAAATCACTCAGAAGAAAGTATAATATAAATGCAATATTAGTGCATTGGTAACTGATATGGTACACATAAGTTTAAATCACAATAATACCCTAAAATCAAGTTACCCTGATGGTTGTAAGAAACACACCTCATTCGAGGCCTCTGAAACCCTCATTAGGAACAGAAGTTTTCCTATGTAGAGACCTGGATCTCTCCTTCCACAAGTTCAAAGTTAGAAAGTCCCATATTTTTGAAAAGGACTTCCCAAGTGGCCCCAGTGGTAAAGAACCTGTCTGACAAAGACGGAGACATAAAATATGCATGTTCAATCCCTGGGTCAGGAAGATCCCCTGGAGGAGGAAATGGCAACCTACTCCAGTATTCTTGCCTGGGAAACCCCATGAACAGAGGAGCCTGGTGGGCTATAGTCCATGGGGTCACACAGAGTCACACACGACTGAAGGGACTTAGCACACACGTGCATAGTTTTGAAAAGACTTCACTCTGTTCTTTGATACAAACTTTATCCCTGAAATAAGTTAAAATTTTGATTTTTCTTTTAAGTTTAACGAGGATTAAAGGGATCTGGTATACCACACTCTATATATCTTGCTGCTATGGAGGAAGCTGTTGCTAAAAAAAAAAAGCAACATTTCTCAGATCTTTAGAGACGTTTTTTACAAAAGAACAAAGTTATAATGAATGTTTTAATGGTTGAGGCCTATATATTGCACATTGGATTAAAGAAAGCATAGAGAGCGTGTCATACACTGTGAATAAATTGGTTTTGTTGTGGATTCTATGGAGCTCTAGTAAAATGACCCAGCAGAGCTGGAGTCCCTTAAACATTAAAAGGTGTGGCAAAGAGAACAAGATGGCAGAGGAGTAGATGGATGTGGAGTACACCTCTGTCTGTGGACACATCAGGAACACACCTTCAGACACAGAAGTGCATGCAGAACATCAGCTGAGAGCGGACAGGAGTACCTACCAGTGGAAAAGAATATATGCTGCTGCTGCTAAGTCGCTTCAGTCGTGTCCGACTCTGTGTGACCCCATAGACGGCAGCCCACCAGGCTCCCCCGTCCCTGGGATTCTCCAGGCAAGAACACTGGAGTGGGTTGCCATNGGAGAAAAGGGAATTCTCTTGCACTGTTGGTGGGAATGTAATTGATACAGCCAGTATGGAAAATGGTATGGAGATTCTTTCAAAAACTAGGAATAAAACAACCATATGACTCAACAATCCCACTCCTAGGCATATACCCTGAGAAAACCAAAGTGAAAAAGACACATTTATCTCACTGTTCATTACAGCAGTATTTATCATAGCTAGAACATGGACGCAAACTAGATGTCCATCGACAGATGAATGCATAAAGAAGTTGTGGTACATATATACACAATGCAATATTACTCAGCCATAAAAAGGAACACATTTGATTCAGTTCCAATGAGGTGGATGGACCTAGAACCTATTATACACGGCAAAGTGAGTCAGAAAGAGAAAGATAAATATATTCTAATGCATATATACAGAAATTAGAAAAATGGTACTGAAGAATTTATTTACAGGACAGCAGTGGAGAAACAGACATAGAGAATAGACTTATGGACATGGGGAGAGAGGAAGAGAGGGTGAGGTATATGGAAAGAGTAATATGGAAACTTATATTACCATGTGTAAAATAGATAGCCAACGGGAATTTGCTGTTTGGCTCAGGAAACTCAAACAGAGCCTCTGTATCAACCTAGAGGGGTGGGATGGGGAGGGAGATTGGGAGGGAGGTTCAAAAGGGAGGGGATATATGTATACCTGTGGCTGAATCATGTTGAGGTTTCAGAGAAAACAACAAAATTCTGTAAAGCAATTATCCTTCAATTAAAAAAAAAAAGGTGTGGCAAAAATGCTAAACGTAAGCCCTAAAGTGCTCTGAGGTAACTTTCCACAAACAGTCAAATTAATTACTCTTTTGTTACTATATGGAATATTCATCATTGAGAATAAAGTAAACATGAGCCTGTGTGTGGTATTGCCAAAATACGGTATTTTCCACATTGCAATGTTTCATTACCATCTGAGAAAACATTTATTAACATAAGGAGCTTCACTGAATACCAGGTGGAGATAATTATATCATATATTTATAAAGCTTTCTTATTTAAAGTTACAAAAGAAATGGTGATTTTACAACAGGGGAAATAATTACAAGAAATTCAGATTTTATCATATGCTGTGGATATTTGATTATATATTTATTGAAGTCAAGGAACAATAAACCTGGTTCAATAATACTAGATCATAAAAAAATCACTATGCACAGGAAAGTAAAAAGGACATAAGGAAATTATCTTAAAGAAAAATCTGAGGGAAAAAGCATGTAGATTGGTAACTCTAAATAATGTTAATCTGCTTCACATTTAGAGATTTTTATCTGAGTTTTGCTATTTTTATTATCCAACACTATTTAAAATTGTTAACCTAGAAAAGATACCTATTATATTAACTCCTTGAAAGAAACTAAATGCAAATATTATTTTGTTGCTTTGATTACACTGATTGCTACTTCTGTTGTTGTGACAGCCTGCCATCTTTAATAGCAGCTTTCATTTTCCTAAACTTGCTCCATCATTCATAATGGCTTTGTTATGCTCCTTTACTGTGGTTTAAAAGATCTTTCATTTATTGTAGCATCTCTTCAGTAACTGTCATTTATTTTTTTAATATCTGAGACAAACAAACAGAAAAGCTGGTGTGCATGAATACATATTCCATTGAGATATCATATTATGTCACGTTATTCACATTATGTGATAACACTGCCTTATCATTTTTCTTCTTAAGGCCAGTCATGTCAATAGAGACTGCACAAAACACTACAAGTCGATGTTTTCACAGTTCAATCAGGAAAACTAAAGTTATCCTTGTTATAATTCCCTTATCACTTAATCCACAAGAAATTAAGTTCATGAACCTTTTGGAATTTGATATGAAATAATTTTAGTCTGATGTGCCTTATTTCATAAGTTGCTGATCCTCTCTCTTTTTTTTAGATCAATAGTGGAATTTGTTAATAAATTACATTGCAGCTCAATAATAAAAAAATACTATCTGTACCAGGAGAAATATAAATTTCTATAAGTATTCTAATTCTAGTTACTTTCAGCAGACTATTTGTTAATATAAATTAGATTTTTATATGATGAGAGTATTTCTCTCACCATTACAAGTTTGAAATGTAAAATGTGTCCTTTCACACATGCTTTTTTTTAACTTATTTTTTTTATTGAAGGATAATTGCTTAACAGAATTTTGTTGTTTTCTGTCAAACTTCAACCTGAATCATCCACAGGTATACACATACCCCTTTCCTTTTGAACCTCCCTCCCATCTCCCTCCCCATCCCACCCATCTAGGTTGACAGATAGCCCCCCTTTGAGTTTCTTAGCCATATGGCAAATTCCTGTTGGCTATCTATTTTACACATGGTAATGTTAAGTTTCCATGTTACTCTTTCCATACATCTCACCCTCTCCTCCTCTCTCTCCGTGTCCACAATTCTATTCTCTATGTCTGTTTCTCCCACATGCTTTTCTAAACCTCAAATTCCTGAGCTTCCAGTTTGTTAGTGATTTTGAGTTGGTGGGTTAAAAAGAGATCAACATGTGACATTAGCATTATATTTTCTGTAATACAGAGTTAACAGATAAGTGGGTGTTCTATAGTTTTATTCGCTAAATCTGGTAACCCTAATCTAATATGATTTCAAACATGGATATCGGATAACTAAGAGACAGTTAACTACTGGTGTA